ATCAGAACCGGTTTTAAGGGGTGTATAAAGTTTCTTAAGATGAAATTTGATTTGTTGTGGTCATAAGATTGACATTCTTTTTTGATTTTTTTCTTCCAAACTCGTGGAATGGAGGTTTTAATTTTTTTAAATGTTGTTTGTTTAAGACCGGTTAATTGGTAATCCAAGAATCCGGGTACAAAAACCTTTGCAAGATCAGATATTTTAGATATTTGGATCAAAGTTGTTTCTTTTTTAGGTTTTAGAGTCTGGTGGTTTTTGTCTTATAAAATTGTTATAAAAAATGGGCTGGTTGAGGATTTCCTCAATGGACATATTTGTTATGTCGCTCTCGCCGTTATAAATGTGACTCCAGTTTTTAATTAGTTGCTGGTAGAACACAGGGAGGGTATCAATTGCGCTGCTTGAGTGAGTTGTGATAAAAATATTTTCTCCTTGATTAGTTTTTCTATAACTATTGAAAATATGCGTCGCAGCGTCTTTCCATGCGCCTGTTAGAGTGCGATTAAAAATTTTTGTTACCCAAGTTAGCTGGATGGATTTTAGTTTTTCGCCTATGTCTATGATGCTTAAACCTCCCTGGTTAATAGGGAGTTTAGAAACTTTTTGATTTGTCTTAATTGAGCTGTTGCTCCAGAGAAAATTTTCAACAATTTTCTCAATAAATTTAATTATTCTTTCGTTGGGTATTGGCAGCGTAAAAGCTAAATGCCAAAGGTTACTTAAGAGTATTTGATTTATTATTATTCTTTTTCCTTTAAAGGATAAATTAAACATTTGCCAGCGTTTAATTTTCTTTTGAATAATAGCAATGCTTTCGTTCCATTGCTTGATGTTAACTAAACAGTCTCTATTGGAGAAGTAGATACCCAAGCTTTTAAGGGTATTTTCTTCCCAGTTAAATTTTAGAAAATTTTCTTTATTTATTGTTTTGTTTTTTCCAAGCCACAAACCTTGGCATTTGGTTACATTTAATTTGGCTCCAGTGGCTCGCTCGTTGAGCTCTAAAGCCCTTCCGAGTTCTTTTATCGACTCATCTCCTATTAAATAGAAGTTTGTGTCGTCAGCGTATTGCTGGATTTTAGTTTCGTTTTGATTTACTGTTATTCCTTTTATGTTTTTATTTGCTCTTATATACCCTGAGAAAATTTCGGCCTGTATGATATATAGAATCATCGAAAGAGGACAACCCTGCCTTACTTCTCTGTTTATTTCAATTTTTTCAGATAAAAATCCGTTTATTTTAATTTGCGCGCTTATGTCGTAATATAGCGTTTTTATATAATTTATAAATATGGTATTAAAACCAAAAAAAGATAACGTGTCATATAAATAGTTCCTGTCTACTCTATCAAATGCCTTGACCTGATCAATGGATATAATAGACGCGTCAAGTTGGTTTTTGTTGCATATTCTTATAATATCTCTGGTGTAGGATAAATTGTAATATATGGATCTACGCGGGACGCATGCCGTTTGCTTTTCGTTAATAATCAAGGGTAGAACATTTTTTAGTCTGTTCGCGATGATTTTAGTTATGATTTTATAGTCTGTATTTAAAAGTGAGATAGGACGCCAGTTGTTAATATCTGTCTTATCTCCTTTTTTAAACAGACATATAATTATCGCCTTTTTTTGGCTTTCACTCATTTCACCGGTGGTAAACGTTTCGTTTATAGCTTCGGCCAGTAATTCTCCAAACAAATAAATATTTTGTTTGTAGAATTCGATGGTGAGGCCGTCGCTTCCGGGTGATTTGTTATTTTTGCATTGTTTTTAGAGCATTTTTAATTTCTGTAATTGTTATTGGCAGTTCTAGTTCTTTGCTTAAGTTTTTGGGTATTTTTTGAATAGGAGATGTTTTGGAAAAAGAATGTCTTGGCTTTTAATGTCGCACTTCTCGCTTGTGTAGAGTTCTTTGTAATAATTTTCGAACTCTTTTAGGATTTCATCTTTCTCCGATTTGATGTTATTTTTCTTATCTTTTATCTTTGTTGTTACTTGTTTAGCTGGTTTTAGTTTTTCTAATTGAAAAAACACGCGACTGCATTTTTCGCCTTCAGTACGCCATTTAATTTTTGCTCTTATCGACGCGCCATATGCTCTGTTTGTTTCAAAAATTTTTAGTTTGTTTTTGATGTCAGCGCTTAAAACTTGCATGCGCGGGTTTAGGTGCGCTTTTTTGATTGCGTTTTTAAATTTTTTCTTTAGTTAATATTCTTCAATTCTGCTGTTTTTAGCTTGTTGCTTGCAAAATTTTTTTGCGTGTTCTTTTAATTCGCTTTTAAGATTTTCCCACGTTTCCTTTTTAGAATCTAAGTTTTGGGATGTTTTATTTTTAATAAGTATTTCTATTTGATCTAAATAGTTTTTATTTTTTAGGTGTTTATTATTAAAAATCCACAGACTTTTACCTATTTCTATTTTGTCTAGGGTAATCGAGGCAACGCACGCGTTGTAGTGGTCAGAGTGTGCCATTGGCTCGTGTTGTATTTCTACATTTTGCCTCGCTTTTTTACTTAAGTAAATTCTATCGAGTCGAGAATATGATATAATATTTGTGGCTTTATAAGTAAATTCTTGTTTATTTGGGTTAAAAAGACGCCACGTGTCTTCAACTTCGAGTTTGTTAATTAACTTTTTAAATTTTTCTGTCGAAGCGCATTTTTTTCTGTAAATTTGTGGGTGCCTATCGATTTCGTTTAAAACCATATTAAAGTCACCCGCCAGAATTACCAAAACGTTTTCTAAATTTATATATTTGATTTTGTCTTCAATTAATTCAAACAGTTTTTTTCTGTTTTGAGAAAACTCATGTCCCGAGGGAGCGTATACATTAAGTAATAAAATTTTTTGTTCGCTTACTTTAGTTAATACATAATTAAAAATTCCATTCTCGTCATCGAATTTTTCGTAAGGTTTTAGCACGTGTTTTGTTATAATTGCTGTCCCACCTGTGCGGGTTTTCCCCGCAGAGGTAAAAACGCTGCCTTTCTATTTTTTTGATAACTCATCGTTTTGTAACTTATTTAAATGAGTGTCTTGTAGTAAATAAAAATCGTAGTTTAGTTTCTTAAGATTATTTAAAACTGTATCTTGTTTTTGTTTATTTATTAGACCAGCAACATTGACTGAGAAAATTGTTAATATATCCATTTTTCTACGTCAAGGCATTTTCCAACCCTACGTTGAAGTTCCGTGATTAAGAATATGCAAAAAAGCACATTCTTAAATAGAACGCCAACTTCAGGTGGTTTAATTGTTATGATGTAAAAATATTTTTTTAAAAAACCGTTAATAAAAATTAAGGAAAAAATAAAAAATAATAGTAAAAACTTAGCCATTTTCCAGCGTGGTACTTTCCTTGCTCGTTCTTATTCTTTTTTTTCGATCATTTTTGTATGGTGTCGGGGGTGGTGCGCTGCGTTTTCCTTGCCATGTGTTGTCTTCGTCCATTTTTTCTCGAGATTTTTCGTTCGTATCTTCCGCTCGCTTGTTTTCTTCTACGTCTTTCGTGTGAATCTTCTGTTCTTCTGCTTCTTTGGTTGTTGGTTTGTCGAAGTAATATTCTTTTCTTCTTTTTTCGAGTGTCTTTCTTTCTTCTTCTTTGGTTTTATCGTGTTGGGTTTCGTTCTTCGGATTTGTTGGTTGTTACTTCTCTTCTTCTTTATTTGTTTTTTCTTCGTTTTCAATTATGTTGTGTGTTTTCTTTTTTGAATCGGTTAGTTTATCTATGTTTTCTTCATTTGTTGTTTTCGGTTGATTTTCTTCGGGTTTTGAGTTGCTTTGTTCTAATTCGCTTGTTGGTTGTTGATGGGTTTTATCTTGATAGGTTTCGTTTATCGTATCGCAAGGTGTTTTTTCTATGCGGTTGTGTATATCCTGGCCGTTGTGCCTAGTTCGTATTTTATAGCCTACGATGTTTAGGGAGGTAGGAATTGGCTTTGGCATGTCTTCCATGACAGCGACTAGGATACCAGAGTAGTAGGGTGTGCCTTTTCCTGGCGTTGTCCTCATTACGGGTTTTGTGTAGACGTGTCTACCGTATCCCATTTCTTCAAAAAAACTTCCAATATTGAACTGTTTGGCCTCAATTGGGAGGCCAAATACTGAGACATGTGTTTGATTTAAACGTTTACCTTCAATTTTTGGCCTTCGATTTATATTAGATATTTTAAAGGCATGCTGGTAGTTGTTGATGTTTAAACCATATTCTAACAATTTCATTCTCGCTTCGTTGGTTTTCATAACTAATTCAATTGCTGTGTTTCGTCGTAGAAATTGCACGCCTTCGTCCTTCGTAAATTCGTCCTTCGAGATGTTCGTCCAGATTTTCTTTTTCAATCGCTTTTAAAAATTCGTTTAGGGTAAAATTCTCTTCGATTTCGCAAATAAGAGTTTTTGGTAGGATTCGTTTTTTTGGTTCTGTTTTTGCTGCATCAGCATAGTTTCTCGGTTGTATTTTAATTTTTTGTTGGTTTTCGCATTCATCATCCGAAGGTTCATCGCCACTATAGTCAATTTCAGCATGTTCAATTAATTCATCTGCGGATGCTTTCGCCATTTGTTCCAGTAAAAATACTGGCATATCTTTGGTTTGTTGTTTATCCGTTGAGATTGATTGAGTACATTCTTTAGTTTCTTTTTGCTTTAAAAAAGTCGCCATTTGAAAGATGAATCCAAACTTTAAATTAAAACATTTTCCATATACTATAAAACTTACTGATCAAAGAAGCCGCTTCATGATCCGACTTAACTTCCCAGTCAGGTAAGTTACAGGTAAGTTACACGCGATAAGCTTATAATAACTTCGTAATTAATAATGTAAGTATTTTTAAATCACAAACTAATTTTTTTACAAAAAATGAACTTGTGGTTTTATTTTTCTTTATAATATCTTAAAATAGTCGCGTTATAGCGTGCAAATTGCACCTTACGCGATATTTATACTATTACGCACTCAGTTTATGCAAGAACCCATAAAATAAAAAGATTCCATCTTAAAAATGTTTAGTACAAACAGTTTTTAATAACTAATGCTACAAAATGCTACAATACTCAAAACTAATATAAAAACCGACTTGACATTATTAAAAAAAATTTTTAAATTTTATGCTTAACAAACGATAATTTGAAAAGTGAAAAATTAAAAACCCAGGAAAAGTGTTTTGCAGTGTAATGGAAAAATGAAATCATTCAGCAAAAAAACAAAATAGCAGATAAAAAAAAAATTAAGATACAGTTTATCATTTGCTGTAGTGAATTTGAATAAAAATATACGATTAACGGTTTTTCATGGTAGCTAATTCTTCAAAGAAACCATCTCCATTTCAGATGCATTCAAGCAAATTTGAACGCCAACATCGCATTCTTCGTTTGTTCCCCCATTTTTTCTACACTCTTTTCCTTCGTCCAAGCATTCCTGAAAAATTAAACAAATATATATATATATATATATATATATATATATATATATATATATATATATATATATATATATATATATATATATATATATAAAACAATAGTTAATGATTAAATTAAAATTATATAAATGTTTACGTTTGAGCTTCTATCACCATTCACATTTAAAATTCCAATAATTAACACAAATAACAAAACAAACTTCATTTTTATAAAACTTATGAAAAGTTTAAAGGAAAAAAATGCAATCGAAAAGTCTTATAAAACCTGAAAATAAAAAACTGTGGGAAAGTTTATCTTTGACGAGCAAGTGTCTAAAAGTGATTTCACATATCATCCCTTAAATCTTGCATATATAGTACAAACCATCACAGGTGTGTACATACTTAAGTAAATATAAGATATTTAGTATATGAAGTAAACTTTATATACTGCATATAAAATATATTTTATATACTTCATTTGTTGTTTATAAAGTATGAAATAAACTTTACATGGTGTAAGTTTTATATATAGCATATGAAGTATATTTTATCTAATACTTGGTTTTTGATAAAATTGAATATTTTTTATTATTATGAAACATTCTCAATTTTATCAAAATCTTTTTAATGATTTACTTGTGAACATATACATAAACATCTATTCGTTTTCAATGATTTACTTTGTGAAACATAGATATAAACATCTATTTATAACATATATTTTTAATATAATTATAACATAGATATCATCAATATTTTTGTGAATATTAATAATAGTATTTTGTATATAATAATATATAATTTAATAGTATTTTAGATAACATCATTTTGATATATCATTCAACGATTTAAAAGTCGGAGGTGTAAAAGAATACTTAGTTTAAGTTTGTACGAACATGAGAAATTCTTGAATGCTCTGTTGATTAAAAATGGTGGCTTGCAGGAATTTAAAAATCATGAAAACAATACAAAAAAGTCTAGTTTTTCAAAATTCAGCTATGTAATATTTAGGTCATCTATATCTAGATAGTACCTGCCGAAATCCAAATCCTCAATCTATGTTTATAGTGAAACCCTAGCAGATTGCTGTAAATTATGTTAGTGTATTCTACAAATAATATAAATGTGAATAAACATAGACATAAACATCTATTCGTTTTCAATATCTTTGTGAATATTATTTTAGTTAATGATTTACTTGTGAAACATAGACATAAACATAAACATCTATTCGTTTTCAATGATTTACTTGTGTATATTATTTTTAGAAGTTAACGATAAACATTTATTGTTTTACTTAAAAACAAATGTCTGAAAAATCTAGACAAAGTCTGAATGTGATAAATTTAAATTTTCTATTTTTTCAGATAAAAAAAATCATATTATAGTAAAAAATCATATTGACACTTTTGGTACTCTGTCAAAACCATTAATTTTCCTAAATTTTAAATATTATGAAAAAAAAAAAAAAAAAGAATTATAGAAGTTTCACCAAGGACTGCTCTAAAATAATTTTGACTCTAAAGTTTTCACTTTTTACGTTAAAAAAATGAAAAAAACAAACAAATGTATATTATATATATATATATATATATATATATATATATATATATATATATATATATATATATATATATATATATATATATACACTAACCTTCGCTTTCTGACATTGATAATTTTTTCTATCATTTTCTAATTTAGCAATAAAATAAAACAAATAAAAATTATTTTTAATAAACTTTCTCTCAATCAACCTAATAACAGTTTTTATGCCATTTAAACTAGTTTTTTACTGTAATTGTTTTCAAATACTGTTACCTTTCTTTTCATTTGATTAAAAATGATATTTTTTCTTGTTGTTAAGGTTTAACTTGGTTTAACTTTTTTTTTAATCTTTTAATATAAAAATATATAAAACCTTTTTTTTTGACTATGTATATAAATCTATTTATATTTGTTTCTTTCTCTCTCTGTTATTAATTTTTCTTTTTCCGATTGTCCATGTCTGGAATGAAATATGTTCCTAGATATGCTGATGAGCCCTGATGTTGAGCGACATAATCATTTGTTGGTTTATTATTGTAATATTTTATACCAAAATAGTAGAAAAGAATCTACAGATCTATACTCTTTTAATAAAAAACACTTTTTGTAAAAAAAAGTTTCTAAGTAAAACTAAGATATGGGCTTCTCACTGCAATAGAAAGAAAATCCCTTTAAATCCTCCAGCCCAATAATAGGAAGATTTAAAGAGATACATAGAAGGAGGCTATTAGAGTCATTGCCCCTCCCCCCTCTCCTCCTTAGTATTTGTTGTTTTTTTTGAGGTATTGAGCACATTGTTTAAAAACGTAAGTAAAATTAGGAGGCTGTTTCAAAATGGGATCAAATTCGGATTAAATTGTATATTACAAATTCTATTTTTTGCGCCTGCCTGCTTAAAAAATCATTAAACCTGTAAATTGGTAATCTGCCCGACGGGCATTTGTTTTTAAAAGTTACGATCTAAATGTATTTTAAATGTCTTTTAAACGTCTTTTAAACATTAATGTTTAAAAGACGTTTAAAAGACGTTTAAAACACATTTAGAACGTAACTTTTAAAAACAAATGCCCGTCGGGTGGATAATCGAAATAAAAAAAATGCCCCCCTTTGACTTTTACTTCACTACTTACCTTTCGGAATTTACTGGTCCGAATCCGCCCTTGCTCCAGCCCCCCTTTTTTTTATTTGCCTTGCGGGCGTAGTTGCGTCACCTACAACACGGCGTAATGCGCTTTTTTTTGATGGGGTAAATTTAAAATCTGCGTCCGCCCTTGATATGTATATATATATATATATATATATATATATATATATATACACTCACATAAGATCATTTACTTGGCCGAAAAAAAAATTACCGTAGAAAGCTGAAATTATTTAATCAAAATCTCGATGTTGAGTTTATTTTTTTAATTTATACGTTTAAGTCATAGTCATAATATCAGATATATTATGACTTAGTATTTATAGTATAGTACTTATTATGATATAGATGTATATTATGACTATGTTTAAATCTATTCCATGAAGGTTTAAGTTTAGGATACATTGTTCAACAAACTGTAATTGAGTAGATAGGAAAAAGTTTTTTAATACACCTTTATATCACAGTTTTCTCATATAGTTCAGCGTATAAAAGACTTTAAAACAGTTTTACGAAAAAATTATCTACTCAAGATTCCTATCATCCAAGTTTTCTCAAGACTTTAAAACAATTTTACGAAAAAATTATCTATTCAAGATTCCTATCATATAAGTTTCTCAACAGTTTGAAGTTTAGCGCGCTGAAAATTGCTGAGAATTTATTCTTAATTTAAATCTACATGAAATAGATTTAAACATTGTATAATAATATAATCAACATCAAGTGCGACTAGTTTTAAGGGAAAAGGTGTTTAGATTTACTTTTACATTAGCATTTACTTTTACATACTGCTAAAAGCAGGAGGAATCATTCTATTTTTGGTTAGTTTATTTACCATATACTGTTATAATAATATAAATATTTTTTTTTGTTTAAAATTTTGTTTAAATCATTTAAAGTTTAATTCATATTTTTTTAATTACAAGTATCTAAAACAATGACATATAAATATAACTAGATGCGTGACTCGCAGTTTTTGCGCAGTTTTTGCGTATAACTTAGTGAAGCCAGCGTCCGCCATATTGCGGTATGGCAAAAACATTAAACACGACTATACAAACATACAGAATTATTTATGTAAATAATAATTATTCATGAAATTTTGATTAAGTTTTTATTATTTTGATAAATTAAAAATGAAGCTTTGAACCTTCAACCCTGTCGCCCGCGCCTGACTAACTGGTATTCTTTACATCCACAGAAGTATGCGACGATTACGTCTTAAAAAATTAAAAGATATTGATAATTTTTTGCGTACAAATAGATGTAATATGAGTGGGTCAGAAGCCAATGGGTACAAGTGACATTTTCATAGTTTTGAGATACAGCAGCTTAAAGTTTAAGTATTTTTGTTAAATATACTCCGCTGTTGTTATATTTTTCCAGTAGAAAGCAGCACAGGGCAGAGATTCACTTGTATCCCTTGGCCACCAACAATTTTGTTTGCTTCTTCTATCAAATTCTATACTTAACTTAATTTTGGTAAAATCGTCACTTGTACCCCTTGGCTTCTGACCCACTCATATATAATATAAAATGAGGTATAAGATTTTTATAATGTAAATATTATTAGTATGCGCTTAAAAAAAATGACTTCCTTATAGGAATTCGTTTATTTATTTATTTGAAAACAACAGAAGGACCCGAAGGCCACTAACACTGAGTATACATTAACAAAATTTTTTTTTTTTTTTTTTTTACTGAAATGCTAAATTGTATCAAGTGCTGGAGAAGTTATAACAAAATTGTATTAACTTGAACAAAGCAGTACAGCAAGACGTTTCTTAAACATCAAGACAGACGATGCAGACACCACATCCTCCGATAAACTATTCCATACATTAGCAATTCGATTAGAAAAGAAACACTTTGTGCTGTTTAAACTACAATGGTGTTTGAACAGTTTAAAGTTATGACCGCGATTATTCAAGTAAGAATTGAGAATAAGAATGTTTGATATGAAAGAATGTTTGATTGAATGAATGCACAATTCACTAGGTAAAATAAAATAAAAAATAATATTTATAATTAATAATATATAATTATTAATATGCCTTGTAATAACTTATACAATAAATAATATTATTATATTTTAATTATAAGTATATTAATAGTATTGTTAGTATTAGTATTATATTAATACTAACTAGGAAGTTTATCACGTGACATTTTATCGCGGAAAAAAATACTTCGTTTGTTTTTGAAAAACTTCGTCCAGAAATGATTTTATGTAGATGTCGAAGAATAAAAACCCACCCCTGAAAATTGATGGTATATACATATATATAGATGTTATTTTATTTAGAAAAAGATGAACTACAATAATTTGCTTGGGGACGACGTTTTGCTTTAGAATTGATAAAGTTTAAATTAATTAAATTTAATTCTAAATGTTTCAGTTTTACCTAAATACAAGAAAATTAAGATAATTCTTTCGTCCCCACATAAAAATAGGTTCTGCAACTATTTATATATTAGGTCAATAAGTTTTTTTTTTTTTTTTTTTTTTTTTTTTGTAGTTTAATAGGGTGGGTTTTTTGTTTTCTAATGGAAGATTTTTTAAATTTCCCCCGTCTTTAGATATTTTTGAGCGTAATCAAAACTTAATAAGGTAAATTTGCCGTTATTCTGAA